ACTAATGCATGAAAATCCTAACCTCAAAAAAATCACCCGTTACATACCAACTTAATTACCGAGAGAGAAGGATGACACCGCATCCCTTTCGGTGATTTTTTGAAAAAATTGATCACCAAATATTTTTACTTGCATTTCGATGGATTTTCTTCTGCTATTTTTGATATTTAAAATTATCTTAACTAACTTTAATTTAGTTTGTGTTTTTATTTTTTATTTTATTTTATTTATTTTTTTTCTTCGTATCTCATCCTTACATTAAGCAACTTACTGGTAATTAACTACAGTGATAGACATAATGTAGCCACTGCAAGCCTATACTTAGTTTTTATATCAAAATTGAATGGGCTATGAAACTGAATACACAATTTTTTTCATTCAATTTTAAATAAAAAGAGTGAAATTTTAACGAAAGTTTGCTGAACTTTAAACAATTTTATACAAATATTGAAATTTTGATTTATATGCGCTTTGTCGTGGAATGAACTTTACTTTTACAAAAAAATTATAAAAAAAAAAATTGTCTAAACTTATCAATATGTGTGTGACCTTATCATTATGTCTATACTATATTTGTTATCTTATCATTATTTTCATGCATTTACTTACTTTTTAGCTATTTTTGTTAATCAAAATTTCTCTATGTATTTTATTCGCTTGAGTTTTTATCTAAAAGAGACTTAACTAAATTACAATCTGGCAACATTTTTTCTTTTTCAATTAGTTATACTTTAAATTTACAAAAGATCTTTCTTATCATTTAAGTTCCACTATAAATGTATGTACAATTTACAAAAATCACTCCATATTTTTACTTTCTCATTTTCCATTTGTTAAAAGCCTAATCAAATTAGTTTGTGAAAATAGTAGTTTGATTTTTTTTTTTAACAAAAGTATCGTTTTGAGTAAATGAAAATCATTTGTAATAAAAAATGCTTCAAATTGATATTTTTGATTCTTTAATTTGTTAGTACTTCAATATGCATTTATATATTACTTAGCTAAAATTTAAAATATACTTTTTCTATCGGATTTTCATTACAAAATGCACTACACTCTTATCAGTTGTATATATTTACTATATCAAAGCACTAACTTAAACACACACTTGCACACATAGATAACTACATACAAATTTTGATTTACTTCCACATTTAACTGTTCTAATTATTTACTACATATGTACGTGCAGCAAGCACACTTACCTACATACTTATACTAAATATAGAAAACGAAAAAAAAATACACTCAAATGTGGCAAGTTAAATATTTTTGTTGCTCATCGTAAGTCGGCTCTCTAATTCCATAAAAAAAATGATTATTTTTTTTAATTCTCAGACTACTGCACATCATTACGGGTTTTTTTTCTATATTTTTTGTATGCATCCTAATTCGTTCACTTGCCCTTAACTATTAACACACGCCTATATACTTACTATAATTATACGCATATTTATATGTACATATGTACTTAAAAATATAGTTATGCTGCCGCCTATTCAAAGCCTCATTACATTATTCAACTTAACTAACTACTCGTACATATGTATATGTGTTGGTGTAGTTTTGTGTGTCTGTCAGTGTGTGTGTATAAGTTGCTCCAGTTTCGTGGCCATATAGCGTGCTTACCCAAATAAATTTTTGTGTGTGTTTACATTTTGTTTATTTTTGTTTGCAGTCCCACATTTCATACTATGTAAACATACATGCGTATGCGCAGTTTAACTTTGATGCGTCATTATGGCCGTTGTTGTCTCATCTGTAATTATCCCAGGTTTACATGTATATATGTCTGTAGTATTCGGTAGGCCATAGCTATTATGGCTATAATGCCATGCAAATGCGTTTGATATGATTTAGTCGAGCCGCCGACATGCCCATGATACATCGCTGCTGGATTATCACCTGTTGAGGAAAAATAAAATGTAAAAGCGCTAGCTTAGTTAAAATGTTTAGTAATGGCAGTGTAAAAAAATGTGCATGTTATTAGCTATTAAAAGCGATTACAACCAGATCATGAGCGATTAAATTTATTTTCTTTGTTTTCCTTTACATACGGACAACATATTTGTATGATTAATAATCGGTTTGACCCATAAAGTCTGTATGCTAAAGGTAGTTGGTGGGATTGCGCAAAACTACGAATGATTTAAACACGAATTTAGTATCCTATTTACAATTTGAATAAAAATTACAAATTTTATTGTGAAGAATAGATATGTAGCCCACACAAGCATCCTCAACACCATAATCCAACAATACGACATGACACGATACCAGAGCAATACGGCAACGTGTACCTGCATACAACCAACGAGACAAGACACGACAACATGTGGCCCATCGTCATCATGTAACCACACGACCAACGAACCTCACACAGGCGGCCTATAAAAGCAGCGACACAATCTAACAGGATAGTCAGCGGCTGAATAGCAACAACCGTATGGGGGGATTGCTTGTGATTCTTTATATAACACCAGAAGGCACCACGACTCAGCAGCAGAGAATCACAGATCTAACCGAAGGGTGGTCGTCGTATGGAATCTCATTCTCCCGAGCTTTAAACCGGCTCCGGTATACCAGCCGCCACAAGCTACCGTGAACTCACGTAGGGGCGACACGCGATCGTTCGCAAAGTTCCGTTCACTATCGTCAGCAGAGCGCCGTTCACCAGCGCCCGCACAGCTCCGTAAGTAGCAGAGGAGCGTCGCAAAGATACGCCGTTACCATAGCGTGCTAGCGAGACCTACTGGACCGCTACTGGACCGCAGACAGGATTCTGAATCACCGAATACCCAGTGTAAAGCGATTCAATACATTGAACTAGTAAAATACTAAAAGTAAAATAAATAGAGATCTAATTATAAACACCTCCGAACTTACATATTTATTGTGAACGAACCCTAGGATCGTCGAGCTTAACTCAACGACGCTCCGGTATATTATTTGGGAAGAAACACAAGGGGCATATTCATAGTCGTAATAAAGTCGATTATAAAGATAGTTCCCTCTGTCTCTCTCTCTCTTCTCATTGAGAATTATGTTAAAAAGCCGCAACTACCTCTAGTGTCGACTTTATTTTGACTAAGAATTTCCCCTCTAATGGAAATTTAAATGACGCAACTTTCACTGAGGATTAGTTGAGTCAGAAGTCGAACGAAAGTTGGCAAGTAAAATTTGGGAAGTACAATTTCCAGACTAAGGTTACTCATACGCATAGGCGGTCTCTAACCAATTCAAATGCACTGATCGACAAAAATGAAGTTTTAGTTTGTTAATTTTATTGTGGCGTATTAATGTTTTGTACCACGATTTTTTTGTTTGGAAGAATGGAAAATCAACAAAGTCTAAGCGGTAGAAGTTGTACGGGGTCTGCATAGCTCAGTGGTTAGCGCTTCTGACTTTGTACATCCGAGATGGGTTTTCGAACCCTGCTGAGGTCTAGAAAGAGAAATCTGATGAGGAGATGTGGTGATCTCCAAAATAGCTGCTATAGCTTCTAACGCTTAGACTTTTTTTTTAATTTTTCCTAACAAACAAATCGTGGTACAAATCTTAATACCACTGTTGGAATGAACTTTTAGTTTTTCTACTGAACCTTTTTACTGCCTAATGTGGAAATTAGTTGTACAAAATATTAGGCATCCTTTTCTTTTAACAAAAACTTCATATTGCACTGTGACTTCTGAAATTAATGAACCGAAATTTTTCTTACAAGTAAAGTTTGAAATTCGCTTTTTAAAACCAAATTTTATGGTTTCTTGTGTATTTGACTTGTCACTCCAAGTTCTTCGCTAACGGCTGCCATGTTTTCGGGAAGAAGTGCAGCAAATATCGCTGAGAGCTCCACTTTTGTGCGCTTTCTCTAGAATCCCTGAGATTATTTGAATTTAAGGAACTCCTGTAAGATACCTTGTGACTTAAGTTATGGAGGGAACACATGTCCACCCTATTGAATGGCAGCAGCTACGAAAGTTGATAGAAAGGCAAACCCGAGCCTCCAGTCGATGATGAAGGTGTCGATTTTCCACCACCTGACTATGACGAGCTGCTTTGTTTAACTCGGCCAAAATCTCCTAGGCGCTTACAAAGCCGAAGAAGAAGAAGGGGAAGAATAAATAAGCCTCCATGGTTATGCATGGTAACAGCCACTTAAACCTAACCAAAAATCAGAACTCAGTTAGTAACATAGCCGCTGGCCGATAAAGTACTGTTATACTTTCGACATGAGGGACGGGACACCATAGGGCTGTACGGCTGACAGTAAAAGACACATGTTTGCTATGGCAGCACACATAAAATTTGCAAATGCAATTCCAACTGCAAATCCAAGAACATTTAAACAACACCCTGAAGAGCGCCAAATATATTTCATCGGGATTTATTTGTCCACAGAATCTGTATGTTGGCTTTATTTTTAGAACGATTATTCTGTGTGATTCTATTTTTAACTCCACGCAGTCGAAACTCCTCGAACTTAGAATTCGTTTACGAAGCCAATTCAAGTGATTTTAAGGGAAAGTAATGATACAAAATTTGAGTTTTCAGAGAAAGAAACTAAGGAGGTATACGTGTGTATTCCAATTATTTCGTCATTTTATGCTTAAAAAATTTGAAATTGTGAAATTTAAATATCACAACTTCGAATTCGTAATGATTTTAGACGGTTTATGTAGATGTTAGCATATAACAGAATGCATGCAGCGATATAACCGCGATGACGCAGGCAAACAACGTATCTATGCGTAATCGAAATTGTGGCATGTGTGGAACAGTTAAATAACTATGGCAACAATGAGAGTTACATGTAGCAAGCAAACAAACGCTTAACCAATGCGTTATTTGCCGAACACTAAAAGCGTTGCTTTGGCTACATATGTACAAATTCTGTTGTGCATTCGAATATTTCAATACAACACTGCTGTCGTTGTGGTTTTGTCAATCTGTGCAAATATACAACAATACAAATACTAGCCAACAAAATACGAAGTTATATAGATAGTACATATATATGTATGTATTAAGGTGTTCCTTAAAATAGCTACGAAAATTTCAAAGTCTCAAAAATATTTTTAGGGGTCGATACCAGGGTTTGACAAAATTTTAAATTTTTTTTAAATTGCAAAAATTTCACATAATTTTTACTAGAAATCTGATAAGTTTAAACAAATTCATAAACTCGCTGGTTTACACATAGCTGGTCAAAGTCAATATTTTGGTAAATTTTTTACGATTTGAAAAAAAAATAAAAATTTGTTTAACCTTGGTAGCGATCTCTGAATTTTTCTTTTTCTTTTGTTTATTTTTTTTTTCTTTTGTGAATGCCTTTACTTTGCACGTAAAGCCACATAAAACTGTGCCCTATGATGTTGATATTTTAACGGCCACCCTAGTATGTATTTTGTATATCGATTACATAAGGAGATACATAGTATATGTACGCTATTGTCATCGCTGACGCATTCGCATCTTTCGCTTGCCATCAACACCCATGTCGCCGGCTTGGCCACAGGCTTTTGTGTGTGTAGTGTGGTATTTGTACAAGCAATTTATTTGCATGTGTATATGTTTGCCTTAAGCGAATGTGGGTTTATTTTACTGTTGAGTGACTGACTGACTGCGGTTTTTGCGGCGCTTGACAACATCACATACGCAAACTAACGCACAGATACTGTACGTTTGTATTTTGGTTTGTAGGATTTTGCCAACGTTAAGCGATGCGTTCGGTATTTGTGGCAGCACATAGTCTTTTTACATGACTGCAATAGTATGAATGTACATTAGCGTGCATCACTCTCCAAACAAAAAAAAAAAATAAATAAAATAAAATCAGTACCATTTTATCATTGGAACTATAAAATGTATTATATTTTAAGACCTACGCTGAAATATTCCGGAAAAATATTAAGAACTACGTAAACATTTGAAAATACCCCCAAAATCGACTTTTTAAAAAAAAATTTAGTTTTTCAAAATTCTTCTAAAAAATTGCTTCAGTGCATAGAAAAGTAAAGCTTGAAAGCTTGAAAGCTTTTTATAAATTTTATCAACGGAATGAGAATAACGATATTTTTTTCAAACACATTCTGGCCGAAGTCCTAAAATATAAGTTTTATGATTCCTGTAGGAAAACCGCTACCTTTTTTTTAGTGATGCACCCTAATGTACATATGTATATTTACAAACTCTTATATGGCAGTTAGTTTTCCGGCGACGTTTTGTTTCACAAATATGCGCATGCGAATTATCTTCGTACCCTAACAGAATGTAGGCTTAGGAATTTGCCGCCAATGGCATGGAGTTCGCGTAGTTCATGGTTTTGCAATTTTCATAAATTACTTTTATTACACGCGCACACAGAAAATATTTTATTTGTCATATGCATGCTTGTGGTAAGCGAATGCTGTAGCAAACTTCAACGACCGCACGCAGAAAGCCGGCAAATCAACGGCGTTGAAACAAAATTACAAATATGCTAAAAAAAAAAAATCAATTTCTTTAAATACGCCACGTTTTGTATTACATTTAAATTCATTCGGCATTCAGTACGCAATTTGCATCAGCATTCAACAAGCAACAACAATCAGCATACACAATTTTGGTATAATTTTTATGTTGAGCGTTTTATGTTGCTACATTTTTATTCGCATTGCCATGCGGACGTTCGTAAGTCACTAAAATACACACAAGTATGAACAGAGGCTTATATGTATGCACATAAATACCCCAATGCGCACACTTGTATATAAATAATTTATTTTAATGTGTTAACACATTAAGTGCAGCAGAATTTACAACTTGACTTTTTATCGCTTTTTTTTTTTAGCTTAGTCAGATGTTCCGGAAAAATAATGTTACTGGAAAATGGATGACAGTAGTTTTTTTTTGGAAGTTCAGAATAC